TTTATTAGTTAATGCATAAGTGGTTGGTTGTATGTACATTGGCAGACAGATTTTATTGTTAATGCATAAGTGGTTGGTTGTATGTACATTGGCAGACTTTTTTTACTATGTAGATAACTGACTCTGGCTTGTCTGCCTTGGCTACTCAGGAATATCTTGAGAATCTTCAAGCACGAGGTTGTCCCCAACTTGGAGATACAGGTACATTTTGGGTCCATGTTTGTGTAGGTTATTAAACACTGTTAAACTTTTGTTTTTTTTACTGCCCTATGGACCATGTCTAATTAATAATCCCAACAGACAAATTGTAAATCACTTGGCAGACTTGTAGCTCAAATTACTGTATTGAATTACATAATACAGAACTGCTTGCGAGTATACCTCATGAAGGATTTTTATATTTTTTTTTCATTATCCTACTTAATCTAACCTTGTCTAACTAAGTTTCTAATTTTTATATTTCAGTTGCTTTTATATTAATATATAATGAATACATATGAAAAATAAGAAATATAGTATTTATCGGGGTCATCTCTTTTATTTATTTATTTTTTGCTGTTGACTGTCAATGAAAATTAAGGCTACTTTTTTATACTAATGGTACTACTACACTAACTAATTTTTTGTTTAACCCTATTGCCACAGGTATCCTTTGCTGCACATGACACAAGGTTTTAGTGTCTTATATTCAAGATTTTATTAAACTAATATTTGTTTAAATAAAATCTTAGCTAATAATCCATATTTCAATAGTATATAAGTTTAACGTTCTTAATTCTGCAAGGCAATATTTTTAAAAATCCTAAATTTCCCCTAGTGTGGTGCACATGACACATCTTCTCTAGGCATCTAGAGAAGACTCAATATATTCACAGGCAAATCATTTTTTAAGTTTATTAAAAATACTTCACTAAAATATCTAATTTTTTGTTTGTGAAAGATTTGTAATGTTTACTGAAAGACTGCCAAATTTTGTGAAGATACACTTACTCTGTTAGTAGTATCAAAACTCTAATGACTTTAAATGAGTGCAAAGTGGTCACATGGTCATTCAATTCAACTGACCCCCTGTAGACAGAGTTAAACACAGGTTTCTTGTATGATACGGCTTCCATAGTCTGTGAATCTTACCGAAATCAAGAAAACCCATCAAAATATGTATTTCACAAATAATGATATAGTTTTTAGAAAATTCTAATGTTAATAACCAGACTGATAATAGTGATATTTTTATTTGAACCTTGTGTTATATAGGCCTTCCTGGCTTCACAACAGATTATGGAAGCCATAACATGTGGGAAATATACTTTTATAAAGATAGAAACTGAACATATGTTATTGCAACAAGACAAGAATCATTTAATAACATTAGTTTATCATAGGTTTCAAATAATGTGAACCAGTGTTTTTTAAGTAATAAAGTAAAAAATGTAGAAGCTGGACAAACAGTGAAAAACTGTAATAATTGTGATATTCACATTAATCCATTCCTGATCTCAGATAAGAGATATATTAATGTAGCATTTCAGATCTGTGCCAATAGTTGCTCCTCATTTTAATTTTTTTGCCAGTTTTGTCATTTTCCACCATGTCATTTAGTTTCTTGTACTACCTGCAGATGGTATAGACTTCTGGCTGCCGAGTTTCATTACTGACAAAAGGCCTCTCAATAAATAGCTTTGAAATATGCTATCTGAAATGAATGTATGAAAAAAAAAAGCGTTTCTAATCCAAAATATTAGGCTTAGCATTCAGTTAATTGTTAAACTTATAAATGGAGCTGCAGTAAGAGACAAGGTTTCCTAAAGCAGCTGTAGCAATTTAATAAAATAAAACTGTGGAAATTCATTGTCATTATGATTACTAAATCACTGATTTATTGGAACATCTTTATTTTGTTACATGATGAGAGTTATTAGACATAAATGTTACTTTAAATTCACACACATGATCTTTCAATAGCTGGTTGTTCTTTGTAAATTTTACATATGATTGTAATTTGCTGAAGGACTAAACAGCCAAATTTAAAATGGGTTTTAATCATTTCTACACGGGTCAGGGGTCAAAGGCCATGTCATCTCGTTTGTTGACTTGCATTCAAAATTTTATTGAACTATTATTTATGAATTTATGTCATTAAGTTTGGTATCAAACTGTAGGTTATAATACATGTTTTAGTGTTATACATTATTTAATTTCTTAATTTAAAAGTAAATATTAAAGAAACACACCAGAATATTTATTTTTGTGTGTCATGTGGTATGTTGAATGCAGCATTGGTTCAAATTAGATGTTTGTGATGTCCAAATACAAATTATATAGTTTTGTATGAATTAGGAACTCAAATTACCAATATTGACAAACTAGAAAAAAAATAAGAACCTCAGATCTTTTCTATTTGTTGAGATATCACTCATTTACCAAATCAAACTGTGTCCCCACTCACCTCTTTCCATTTTAGGAAATGGTCCCTTATATATACATACTTATATATATATGAAATGTGAATAACCAATCAAAAGCTCGGAATGTCCCCCTAGTGGCTTTCTCAGCCATTTTCAAATATAACATTGTTATTTATTTTGATACAAGATGGCATAGAGGTAAGTCTAGTCTTTAGTCTGATCGAACTTTCATATTTTTTTAGATCCAAATACAGCTTAGTTACTAAAATTGATAAATTATAATTGAGTTCTATTGTATCGATATTGCATACTTACAATGTGTCGTAGTCAAAGAATTAAGTAGTAGGTGTTTGTCTTGAGTGGAAAGGATTAAAACACATTATTAAGATGCATGTTGTTTTGTGAAAGCCATGTAATTGTGTGAGTAAGTGTTCTATTATATGTAAATATACAGAAATGTGAGCACATTACAGCTTATTTTGTTTTCAGGATTTATAAGTCTTATCTTGTTGTGTCCTGGCCTTCATTGCTTGGATGTAAGTGGTTGCATTCTTGTATCAAATGATACTGTACAGGCTGGCTTAGATGCCGTTAAGGATCGAATGTTGGACTCAAAACTGGTTATTACTGTTGGAGGTGAGTTTTATAAGATCTGTTATTCTTTTTATTACCAGAGCTTATAGTACCAAAACTGTACTTGATATTGTCGATACAGCTACTGTTTTTCTATAGCTTGCAGTATCAAACCTGCACTTCATATAAAACTTTTAGCAATATAGCCAATAACCAAATTAGATTAAATTACTGGAACATAAACAAGAAATAGTAAGGCCAGTTAGCTGTATCGACAATATCAAGTACAGTTTTGGTATTATAAGCTCTGGTAATAAAAAGAATAACAGTACATGTATCGACAATATCAAGTACAGCTTTGTCACTATAAGCTGTAGAATAACCGTAGATGTATCAATATGACATACAATATTGGTGCAATAAACTATAAAATAACTGTACAATAGAAAGTTTTAAAATAACTCACATTAAATAACAGCCTCATACTGTAACCACCTGAAAAGTACAATGTTGGGGTTGTGTTTTCATCATATGAGTGTCGAAGGCCCATTGCTACAGTAGTGTGCCCCTGTTTTTGGGGCTGTGGTAAATTTTGTAAGAGTGGTGGTCAAATCACACTTTTAATTTGAGTAACACAAGATTTGTTGGGTCTGTTGACCAGCTGTCTTCCCCTCTAGACTATCAGTTCCAAATTATGGATAGTTGGCACAGATAGCAAAACAAATAAACTTTTCTGAACAGTTATGATTTCTTTTTGATAATTTTTAAAGTACACTGTGCTAGAGCTTGCTGCTTTCATGCTTTATTCACTGTTAATATAGGCTGTAAGGTAGAAGATGTTTACTAATGTTAAATAATCTAATATGTATAATGTTGTTACGTTGTGAACATTCTGAAATTTTACACTAGGTACAAGTGTTGTCCCCGAAAAGCTAAATTTGGACAGCCCTGTGTTAGAAGTATCTAGGTTGAATCTCTGTGCTGACCATTTACGACCAGATCATGCTGATTGGTTTGGTAAGTATGAAAGTTTCTTGAATTGCTGAATATATAAAAAAAATTACATACACGATGGCTGGGTTCATCTGTGAAAGTCATTGTTAATCATTACAGTTCCTTGTATTGTTGATAAAGTAACACTAGGGATGACTTGGTTCATCTGTGAAAATCCTAGTTAATCAGTGAAGTCTTTTATATTGTTAGTAATGTAACCCTAGGGATAGCTGGGTTCATCTGTGAAAGTCATTGTTAATCATTACAGTTCCTTGTATTGTTGATAAAGTAACACTAGGGATGACTT